TCCCTCCCTCCCTCCCTCCCTCCCTCCCTCTTTCCTTCTTTCTTTCTTTCTTTCTTTCTTTCTTTCTTTCTTTCTTTCTTTCTTTCCTTCTTTCTTCAAAAAGAAAAGAACCAAAGAAGGATAATTGAGGAAAAGTGGAAAAAAATTTAAGCGACCTATCCATCATAAGTTATGAGTTACTCATGTTAGTGAACATTGAACAATGAAAATATACAGCAAATTCTGAAGGCTTAGTACAAAAAAATCACACTTCATTAAAAATCTAAAACATTTCAATCTCTTTTAATTTGGGGTTCACACACTGGTTAAAAAGCAAAGTTGGTTGAGCCAGATACTCCCTAGGAAGAGATGACTAGAGAAGATGCACAGAAGAGTTATTGTTTTATTTCAGTGTGTTCACAAAGAATCCTTAATATTTAGATTTTTCCCCAACATATGACACAAGAAAGAATTGTTTTAATTTCACCCCTTCCTTTGATTTAAGTAATTCAATACTTTTCTTGATAATTATTTTCAATGACTAATTTCCATTATTTGATCTTAAACTATTTATATTTCTTATTTATTTTAGACAGCAGGAAATGAAATTGAATTAGGAAATGAAGCTTCTGAATCTAAGGATGGAATTGATAATTTAGACATGTCTTCAAAAGATTCGAGATCCAGTCTAATAAGAAGAAGATCAACTCGCAGAAGCATCCGTGGACCACATGACGAAGACAAGAAACTTAGTAGCGAAGAGGCCCTGGTATGGACAAAGATGTGATACTATGTTCTTGATCCTCCTCTGAACCTCTCCTACCTGAGTGTGCCTAGGCAGAAGAAGGAGTGGAAACTACAATGTATTTTTTATAATCCTTTTTTTCCTATTCACCAGAGTGTTCCAGAATCCAAAATGGCAATGTTCTATAGTCAGTTTAGGTTTAAGAATAAGAATTAATATCAAGATGTTTAGAAATAGAACTTAGAATATGAAGATGCTATAGTAAGTCTTTAAGTGTTAATGTTTCTATTCTGATTATCCGTATTGGTCAATATTCTTGGTATCTGTTGAAGAATTAACATGGCAAGAATTAAATATTTGTGGAAGTATCATTTATTTCTTATAAACTAAAGAGGTATTATCAATGTATCATCATAATATTTGAAGCCAAAGATCTATCAACTAATGAGAAATAAAAACAGGATGAATATTTAATTTAAAAACTTATGGCCAGGCAGTGGTGGCGCACACCTTTAATCCCAGCACTTGGGAAGCAGAGGCAGGCGGATTTCTGAATTCGAGGCCAGCCTGGTCTACAGAGTGAGTTCCAGAACAGCCAGGGCTACACAGAGAAACCCTGTCTCAAAAAACCAAAACAAAAAAACAAAAACCAAACAAAACAAAACAAGACTTGTGGCCCTTTTGTAAACCCAGCACTTGGATGGTGAAAGCAGATAGATTAGACATTCAAGACACAATTTGGTTGGAGCCAGCCTGAAGTAAATGAGACCCTGCCTCAACAACCAAGAAAACTTTGTGCCTGTGGAAGAACTCTGCAGAGTAAAAATCAATGATTAAAAAAATACAAAACAAAAAAAACCCTATATACGTTGTAACGTATTTGTTTTCTAGAATGATGACATACCTCCAGTTTCTTTTTGGCGGATCCTGAAGTTGAATTCGACTGAATGGCCTTATTTTGTAGTTGGTGTAATTAGTGCCATAATAAACGGAGGCTTGCAACCAGCGTTCTCTATAATATTTTCAAAGGTTATAGGGGTAAGTGATTGCATCCGGTTTTACAGTTACTTGTGAGTCTTGACTAGAAAATGAATAACTATCTTAAGTTTTATGTG